GGTTGGTATTTGGCAACTTGAGACGTCTGTGGAGCCATCGCGACATCCGACTGTCCGTGAAGAGTCGAGTTTATTCCGCGGTGGTTCGGCCAGTTCTGCTATATGGCGTTGAAACTTGGCAATTAAGAAAACAGGATAAAGATAGACTGTTGTTGTAGGAACACCGTTGTCTACGCAGTATTGCACGAATATGGTGGGGCAACCGGACAAGCAATGCTGAGGTCAGGTGCGGAGTTTTAGGTAACCGTGGTCACCCACTGAAGCAAGAAGTCAACCTTCATAGATTACTTTGTTTGGGGCATGTGGTACGCATTTCAACAGATAGGTAACCACGGCGAGCGGTGTTCGCCGAGGCAAGTAGTGGGTGGAATCAAGCCAAGGGTGGCCAAGCTAAGACCATGAGGGTATGAAAACCCTAACCAGGAGACTGGATCACATAGGTCGCGCTAGGCTCTCTGCCTGGGGACCTTGGGATGAAAGTAGCCAGTAATTAGTCACTGAATAATGTGGCTGAGTGCCGTAAACAATGGCGTTCGTGCTTCTTCTCGATTTCTTTGCAACATTAGTCCACTGAAATTCCCAATTTTCTCTTGGACTCTACTTCCAACGTTCTTTCTCCTACTGTTCATTCAAATGGGCAGCCAAAAGAAAGCAATCAAAACCGGCGCACGAAAGTGCATGTTTAATGGTTGTACAAACTGTATTTAAAAATTCCTTTATGCCAAGGAGCATCGAAGCTGATTCTTTCAAATAAACGTTATAATGTTTCATACGGGTATTTTTTCTAAGTAGCTTATCTTTTCTCACGCGGTGTAATTACCACCCCCTACTTGGGATTTGGGTGTAATTGAAACTGTTCTTCTGTGTTGTAAACAGGCATAACTTAACTACATCGACAGTGGTCGTCAGTGCCCTTAGTGCACCATGTATTAGAGAAAAGGCACGAAAGCTGTTTGACAGTCAACTTGGTGGGCCATATGCAAAAACGACTGGCCTCGATGCTAAAAAATACACAGTGGTATTGATGGAATGGAATGGGTTTATGTGCATCCTGCTTGTGAGCTATTTTTATAACTAAATTCCAGTGATGATTTTTTAGTGTGACTTTGTTATCTCACACGATGCGCCAGCAACCGCAGTCGAGATCGAGAAATGGTAGATTTTTAAGTTATATGATTAATAGAATCAAAAACAAATTACAGATGTGTTGCGTTTTATGTGGAGCAATATCATTCATTCTCGTGAATGAGGCTTAATACACTGAGGGTTGCGGGTGGGGGACAACTGTGACGATGTGCACTGATGATGTCACCTCGGCTGGTGATGAAACGTTTGCAAACAAATTGCCAAGCTCGGCGAACAGGCGAAATGGAATAACTACTGACTTTCGAGAAAGACTGGTGAGAACATGATGCGAAATCTAAATCGTGATGCGTATGAGGAATCGAAACCCATTAACGACTACGTAGACAGGAACAGAAAGGCATGCTACAAAATGAAACTTTCTCAGACAGTTTTAAATTTGAACTGCTTCCAAAAAACATTTCACCTACTGATCACGATTGAATGCTAAACNATATATATATATATATATATATATATATATATATATATATATATATAATCATTTGTTTAGCTTTCAATCGTAATCAGTAGGTCCAATGTGTTTTGCCATTCAATCGGTTTCTGGGCCAGTCGGTTGGTCAAAGGAAAGGTGCGAGGTTATCCCAATGTGGATCAAGCCACACTATCCTCATGCGCATCTCGGGGAGTAATTTCGATTTCAGGCCACGATTCTGTCTTAGCTTTTGTGGATATGTTATCGTTCCTTAACCGTGTTGTCTCTCAATATTTGCCTACAGGGTTCGTATACATTTTGTAGTTGTTGTTTTTAAGACTGGGTATTGATCAAGAGCGGTTTCGTTCCGCAAGAATTTTGTGAGTGATCTGGGATAAAAGTCACGCTCGTTTGCGTTCCCGGGTGGGAAGAGAAAAGAAAACACATGAGGAGTCGTCACTGGGCTCTTTTTTGCCCAGTGATGCATTCAATCGTGATGGTCAGTTTTCTGTTGGAAAACCGCATTGTCTTTTGACGCAACTATCTGTCTCACTGTCAGTGTTGTTTCCTCGACCTTTCTTATTCTTACGCACGATACCGACATCATCAAAAATAACCATCACTGACAGGAAAGATTTTTGATTATCTGAAGCGCACTCACACCTTGCCGTTGCCGATTCTTTCATTGGAGCTGTTCACAGATGTAAACGGATGTATGTGTGCAACCACCATCTTGTATTTCCCGCAGATGATTATGAACTGAACGAGCAACGTCTGGCTGGTGGTCTATCCGCCGATCCTCGATCACGCCGACGTATGTGTTGGAAAACTACTTCAAAACTGACTCCCATTTCTCATTCATCACCTCGTCCTCTCTTTCGCTTGAACAATGAGAGAAGGGGATCGAATCCTCGGGTTGCCGTTTGCATGGTGCATGCATATGCACTGGCATGTGCCATACTGACCGCATTATTGTTTTGTTTATAAATTTGGTTCATCTGTTCCAACCCGCGAGTTTCTGTGTAGCTTGCTTTTGAACTTTCAATTGTCCGCCTTCTTTTGAACGTGTGCGTGCGTGCCAACCTGTGCGCGCCAGTGTGTCCATTTTGTGTGCAAACGACTGTTTGTTTTTACACCTTTGACCATGGTTCTTCATATGTATGTCTGTCTATACGGGATTTCGGCTATAGATGATTCATCTTGCTGACCGCGATACAAGTGTACGAACGAGTCTGGTCTTCAGGCTACACAATATTTTAAGAAAGGCGATGATTTTTATGGCCAAAACAGCTGACCGAATTCGCATCTCTTTGCACATACCACATCGATTTGTTTTAATGGTTGTATGTGTGTCTGTGACTTGTTTCTATTAATTTTGAGACTCGTTGAAGAAGACACTTGCTTCATTCTTTATTCGCCCTTCGCACTTAGTTGTGCCACCCACACAACTTTCTCAACATCCTACCCAGTTCGAGGTGTTCCATGCCGGGTTAACTCTACTCCCACATTACGTCTGCCTATAATCAGATTTACACTTGTTCGTTCTACTTCATTTCACTTTCGTCACATCGCTCCCCTCTCCACGTAACCCCAATAGAAGTTAAAATTTCCTGCGAAATTACTTGTCCCTGTTTGGGCACACAAAGTCGCACAAATGTGATTGATTTGCTTGGGACGGATAGAGGACGGGATGCACGATGAGAAGGGGAATCGCAACTTACTAAACGAACTGTGCCTGAGTGATTTATAGAATGTGTAACTTGGCCTAACTTTTATCCTCCCAGTGTTTGAGTTCGACTGGATAATCACGATCATCATATCTAATCCTGAAAAGCGATAGTGTTCTTATCCACCCCATCCAACCGTACTTACGTTTACCTGACTACGTATGGCTCATAAATAGTCATGACAGTGTAAATGAACGTGTTTTCCATTTCGAACTAAGTCGCCTCCACCAAAGCAGATTCACGCCATTTTCCGTTTGTTTGGGCGTAAATCAGTAACTATAGAGAAAAACACTCTCCGATGCCTAAATTGAGAGTTTCGAAAGGAGGAGCCAGTATAACAAAAATGCTCGATTTATGCCTTGGACTATTTAGGTGTTTGAGCTACTAGTGGTACTTTCCTGTAATGTTGGAAACCAATAACTGATCGTTAAGTATTGGATTCAATAGATTGTCTAGTTTTTCTTGTTTCCCGCAACTGTGCTTCTCCCTTGCTGCTTGATGCGCATGATCTATTGTGGTAATGCCAACCAGTTGATTGCACGTCTGCTCGCTAGTACAGCCATATATTTGCCATGATTTCAGTACTACCCGTCTGGAACAATACGAATCCGTTACTATCGAGCATATCATTTTGGCATGATTTTCCTGCTTTTCACTGCCACATATGATTATTTTGTTTCGTATTCGCAGGTGGCGAGCGTCCGATGTTGCTGACCAACGGAGAGGTTGTGGGAATCGCGGTAGGTTCAGCTATGGCGTTTATTCTGCTCTTCGCTGGTTGTCTAATCATTCGGGGCCAACGAAAAGATTCTCCACTTCCGTTCAACGGTCATTTCCTTGGACAACGTGTCTAATCTTCCCACGTCAAACCTGTTCTATCCACCACTTGGCTCACTTCACTGTCTCATCCCCTTTTGATTCTTACTTATTAATGTCTGCCCTCAGTCGTGGTAGATAGACACACTTCTTGAGTCTGGAACCTGTTCCCAAAATGAATATTTTACCGAGCATCATGACAATACCCCTCCGAAAAGCGAAGCCATCACTCATTTCTTGTACATGATAATCATTAATTTCGGTCGGAACCAAACAAGGGTTTGTACTTGCTTTCTCCCTTTCTTATCTTATTCCCCTCTTCTCTCTCCTATCCTGTTTTCCATGCTTTTTGTAATCGGGTTTTACCAGTTGCACTATTAAAGTCCTTCATTCTTTCTTTTTTTGTATTTTTACTAACTGAATCTGGGCCCATTAAACTCGTTTCGCGATAGTTCTCTCTCTTTCTATCATCCTGTGGTGTTTGATATCTCAATAGCTTTCATTATTCATGTCTCTATTCTTTATTTGTCCAGTGCGTAATTCAGTGTCGTGTTGTCTGAATTTGTTCGTGTGCACCAACCTCTTTCTCTCTTTTGGAGCGTGTGCTGCACATTGTTGCATAAATTCATACCTGTTCATCGTCGACTTGTTTGGTATCCTTTTACGCTGTGCGTGTCTTGGTATTTGGTTGTCCGTTAGCGTGCGCATAATATCTGGTCTATTTTTCTCCCTCCTCTCTATCCCATTCATGTGGAGTTCCTTCTCATTTCTGACAATCTCTATCCTATCTCGTTTTGACCTCCTTTGAACGTATATTCTCAGTCCTACCGAATTTTCGGTCGCCGTCGGATCCCATATTTTCCGATCATGATTCATGTTTTTTGCTTCTTCTGGTAATGAACTTTCTCCTCCCCATCCTACCTGCTAACACTCACAAAGTGCGTTTGTGGGATCTCAGTTGAACTCAAATTTCTTTATATGATTTTTTATTTCCTCATCAGGCGATCACCCCCGCATCCGGTTTCAGTGTACTCGTCAGCTTTCTATTCCGAACTGATTGCGATGACGATGTCAATATCGTCCTAGTTGTGCGTTCCAAAAGCCGGTCACCTGTCCAAAGTGGAATGGCTCAAAGCATTTCTTTCTTTGTTTTATACAAACAACTTAAACACTATTTAAGAAACTTGTTCTTACTGTTCTTGATCCAGTGTATGTGACATACAGATTCTTGTATGGGACTACCATTAGTGAGTTTATAAAGGGTTAAGGATTACTCCTTAACGGGAATCGTTCAGGTTGTTTTATGAAAACTTGTGTTTTCCCCAACCAGATTAGAAAAAGTGTTAGGGTTCATATCCGAAATCCATCTTTTTTGCAGTGGGCTATCAATCGTGTAGTATAATTATAAAGGGGAAGCTGCTCGATGAAACTGAGATCATGCCCGTTATTCCAACATATTGATTGCCACGTCAGTGATGCGGGTCATGTGTTGTAAAGACACACGATGCCATAATCAGGTTAACGCCCTGGTGGAATGTTTCCTCTTACAAAGAGTGGAAAGGAAGAGGAGCAACGAGAGAGTTCTCTCGTTGACAGGGTCGGATGAATCCAGTTTGGATGGCGTCGAACAGACGTAGCATAAAAAATGAAGTGCAATTAGCAGCAGGCGTACAGCAACTGATGTGAAAAGTTTTAGATACATTCATTGGTTTGTGTTTACAGTGCGCAGTCCCAATACAGTTACCTTGCCAAGAAAATCCTTTGGCAGATGAATCACCTCCCCTAGGAAACATCTGCACTAAAGCCTGTGCACCGATCAAACCTCAAAAAGAAACAGTCATTGGACCCTCTCATGGACCTCACTGATTTGACCCTCAACTGGGCTTCCTTACTATAGTCTTGAAAGAATAGGGTAAATACACGCATGCGTCCTTCCGGATATTCTGGAAGGTAGTTTATTCCCTGATGCGTATATTCGTGATCTATTCACTGGACAGGGATGCGAACCACCCGAGTGTGGAATTTCTATTGGGCGCGGTCAGTAATCCGCAAAAGGAGAGTGAGGGCTACAGAAACAGGAAGCTGGTTCTTAGCTTCGGAACACATTTAGGTGCATCGGTTGAAGTTGTCTGCGTGAATGAAAAAAGTTGATTGCTATTTTGAGGTTGAGTATTGCTTTGATCAAATTGAGAAGACGTGTTGGGAAGAGTACAACGGCTTTCGGTTATTTTCAATCACGCTCGTGCAAGTCACATCGCAGCAGAAAGTTCACAGAGTGCTAACCATTTGCCTTGTTGTGGATCATTGGTTTTTGGACATGTGGAAAAGAGAAGGAGCATGTGCGAATGAGCAGCTTGCTCTCAGTTGAGCTTAGCTTATAATCCTGAGGTAAAGCTCCGGTCATTTCTGTTCTTGGGAAGCAATCACTTGAGGATTTGGGAAAGTACCATGGGATAAAAGTTATTGGTAGTTAGCTTCCGTAATCCTCCCCCTAGTGTTTTTTACAGAAACAAATATCTGACATTAGGAGAACTGATTCCGACCAGTTCGCGGCTGGGTACATAAAAATCATCACTTTGCATCAAGCGCTTGATTCGCGTTTTACATTTCTTCGACGTGTTACGTGATCTAAAGAATGCATTTGATTCGATTGACCATGAAGCTTTATTCGGCTCGTTTCTGCGCAAAGGAATGCCCGGAACTACGTTACTCTACTGAAGTCACTGTTCTCGTATACTTCCAGTCGAGTGAGGGTTTACATCGAGCTAATCAGGTCGTTCGAAACAAGCGGCTGTTTGTCATGGGTGCCCGTTTATCCATACCAGTTCAATTCCATCGAAAATGAGTTATTAAAATGCTCAATAAATGGCTTTTGAAACGCTGGCATTAAATGGACGACCGGAGGATTGCTTTGCGACTTGAGGTTCACTGGTGATATCTGTTTGTTTGAATATTTGAAGGATGCAAAAACAGACTTAACACTAACCAACAATGTTGCTTCACTCGGTATGCGTGTTGCACCTTTAGTTTGTAGTGAGGCTACAAGACTGGGTATCGACTACCCTTACTTTGGAAATAGATGGTTCGAAATCCGCTAGATAGTTGTTTCACTAGTGACGGTAGCCCAGTTAAGTGGATATATTCAAGGCTTGAGCCGCATACCGTGGACGGAAACATCTATAACGTCGACATGATATTTCCTTGAAGTCGGAAACTGCGTCAATTCTGCTTTACGGTCGCGAGACTGAATTTGCGCTTGGAAAACATCCGTCGTCTGGAAGTCCTAGATGATCGATTTCTACGCATTTTGGATCAAACGAAAAAGTACTATGGAGGTAACCCGTTTATACCTCGATGGAAAATTCAGATTAGTAGGCTTCACTGGTTGTTAAACGTGTTGTGTTTCTCTACCAATCATCTGCCGCACACTGTTTTGGATTTATTGTTCTGTGGGAAGTAAATGACATGGGACGACGCACGAAGAAGTCGATTGATGGCTTTGATGATGTGGCTGTATCCAAGATGGATTCAAATTACTCCGTGATTAGTTATTTGGAAGCACCGCAGGAGTGGTATTATCTTCATAATTTCTTATCAATGCCTAAAGTGTTGTGTGTTGACCATCGAGGCTCAGCTTGTTTTTCCTACTCCTCCCCGTCAAACATGTCCGCTTCAAATCCGCCTTATTCACTGGTATTCATTTTGCGTACCTAGCGAGTTTTGTGGCAATCAGCGAAGTTGGCTTCAATCTATTTCGCAGTACAATGATAGTGAGCTTTGTTGTCTGGTAAATGGCCTGTATTAGCATGATTGGCACGCGCCGACAACAAGTTCGGTCTCCTTGACAAATTTTTTGTCAGTTCGATTCGCGCCAGTTGGTTTAGGTTAATCAGTTTCTTCATCCTAATCCATGGCCGATTCACCAACTGGACCTGTCGACAGAGATCGTACAAACAATGCTGTCATTCCTGGATCGTCGTACTTCGTATCCACAATGACCACGTTAATTCAAATTATATGAAGCAATAACAATCAACAATAAAATATAGTGTTCCATTCTGTTTTTGCATAGAGAAGTTTAATTACTGTTACCATCCTTGGAGAACATTGAAAATCTGGATTCAGTGCCAATAGGAGCTGCCCATCGAGACGGAAGGAACATAATTCGAAATGTATTAAAAGACGCGGATAGATATCTCTTTTTCTATTGATAGGTGTCCAGTTTTGAATGTTTCTAACCGAGTGAATGGAAACGGATTTTAGCAAACACGCTTGCTTTCGGTGACTGATCAACCTGCTCATTCAAAACATTTTATATAGCATCATTTTTTATGGAAAAGAGGGTACAAAATGATCGGATGGTCAAATGGAGATTTTTCGTTGTTGTTATTGTTATCTGTATCAGCTCCACAAACCGAAAATGGCTGATCTTAACATCAGATCTTCGGTTAGTCCGTGGTGATGATGTGATTTGTAGTGAGAGGAGTGGAGGTGAAGTGCTATGGGAGGTCGAGTGATGGCACGAATTGATTTTGAACGCTCAAGGGTGGATCATGTAGACGAATCCCAGAGCCACCGCGGTACTTAGGATGAGGTTTTTATTCGACTCAGACCGGCTACCCCAAACACTGTAGAGAGGCCCGAATCCTTCATTCACACACTGTGATCAGATTCGAAAAAGTCTGAAACGACGTCACTTGTAATAGTTTTAATTGCAACAGGCCAGATGATGTTCCCGAACTATAATAAATAGGTGCCTGCTCTTGCGGCCGTTGCTCTACAGGAACACAGAATGAGAAGCAGGAGAGGGAATCTCGTCTTTGAGTTGCGAACACAGGATTGTTCTGGACGTGAATACGACACGTAATTTGGGCGCATAGAATGTTTTTTCCACTGTGGTTCGCAGTTTATGGCTAACCAGCTCTGTGGTCGTATCCGCTTTGAATGAGAGAGATGTTTATGGAGTTTTATATTTCAAAAATCACCAGTAACTCACAATAAGCTTGGGGAGATGTTTTATTTTGTGTGTAGACCAAAT